CGGAAGACTGAGCCTCAGCAGGTTAACTGACCTGACCAAGGTCAAGCTAGCAACCGTGGCTTTCTTCACTGGACCACACCATCGCCTCTGCATCCCTCTTAACCTGCGTGAGGTCGTCTCGGTTCCTGTTGCTGCCCCGTTTCTCTCTGGCATCAGATGAAATTACCCAGCATCACGCCCCACCCAAGGACCCGACGGTTGTAGAAACTGGAAGGCTGTCCCTAGGTCTGGGGTCCCAGTCAGTCTGGAACCCAAGCAGTTTGGCCCAAGCCATGCATTGCTTCCTTTCGGTCCTAACCTCTCCTGCCCACCACTAAGTTCTCCAGAAGTCTTCCTGGTCAGCCCTCTTCATAGGGAAGCTGGGCTCTGCATGCCCTCTGGTGGTCTCTGAGAGAAGTGCAGGAGATATATTGTAAAAAGAAAAGAGGAACGAAAGATGGAAAGAAAAGGAAAAGAGAAATGAGAGGAGGGGTATGGAGAGGAATAGAAAGGAGAAAAGAGGAATAGAGAGGGGGGGAGTGGGGAGGGGAATAAATAGAGAGGAGAGGGATGGAGAGGAGGGGACAGGAGGGGAGGGGAGAGGAGAGAAGAGAGGAGTGAAGAGGAGAGGAGAGGAATGGAGTGAAGGGGAGCAGAGAAACGGAAAGGAGAGGAGAGGAATGGAGATGAGGGGAAAAGGAGAAGAGAGGAACAAAGTAGAGAAAGGAGTGGAGACTAGAGAGAGGCGAAAGGAGAGGAATGGAAAGGAGGGGGAGGGGAGAGGAGAGGAAAGGAGGAGGGAGGGAAGGGCAGAGCCCACCCTGGAGGCAGTTTCATTTCTCCGCTGTGTGGCCCACAGGGCCAGTTCCACTCTCCACCTTGGCAAGATAAGTTTCCTTTGGTTGAGCATTTCTGAGTCTGCATTCTCCTGACACTTTCCTGAAGCTCAGGCATGGGGCCTGAGAGCTGGAGAAGGCAGGAGGCCCAGATGCTCCTTCCTTCCTGCCGCAGCCCACTGTGGTCCCTGGGGGCCGAGGCAGGCTGGGCCCAAGGCAGTGCAGGGAAGGCCGTGCTGGTGCTGGAAGCCCTGGTTAGGGGACGCTCACACCCAGGGTGACTCCCCTCCCTTCTGTCTCAGTTGAAAACCTCTGCCTTTCTCTGGCTTCTCCCAGCCTCTGTGGTCCAGGGGGCCTCCAGTCCTGGCAGGTTTGTGTTTGCTCAGGGATGGGCAAATGGCCAGGCTGAACTAATCAGAGTCTCTCCCTGGGCCTTAATGCCTTTTATTGGGGTTTGGATCACGAGCTCTAAGATGCAAGCATTGAGCAGTCATTTGAAGAAAGTCTGCAGGAGAGAGAACGAGACTGTGAGCAAAGAGAAGCAGAAGAAAGCAAACAGGTGCAGGAGTGGGGAATAGGACAGGAGATGAGGGAGAGCATGCGCCAGTCATCGCTTGAGCCCCTGGGAGCAGCTGTATCTGGATTTCGACTCAGCCAGAACTTTCCAGGTATGAGGTCCACTCATAATTCCCTTTGGCCTAAGCTACAAGTGGGGTCTAACTCATTTGCCTCACAAAGGGCCTGCCTGCTCCCTGCTTGAGCATCATTCCCCATACCCACTCTTACCGTAACTACCATTCATTAAACACAAATCTGACATAAATTATATGGGTCGAGTGCTGCGCTAAGTGCTTTCCAAATCATACACACACAAAACAGTCCTCCCAACAAGCCTGTGAGGATGTGGGGCAAATTCCGAGGGCTGCAGATTCGCTGTCGCTCCTCCCACAGAGAGGTGGAGTTTGTGTCCCCTCTCCTTGAATTTTGGCTGGGCCTGTGACCTGTTGTGACTAATGGAGAATGACAGCAATGCTATGTCACTTCTAAGGCTGAACCTTCAAGTTTGCTGCACTGTCTTTTATAAAAGTCTGACTACCTGGGCCAGCCGGTGGCATGGAGATGAAGGCGGCTGGATCCCACATGGCTGACCGTGTAGTTTGACTCCTAGACTCAGAGACTTGAAAACCACCTGGGGTGAATGTACGTGCCCAAAAGGAGAATGGAGGAGCCGGGATTGTGGTGTGGTCATCCCCTACAGTGAGGGCTGCCCTCCCCTCCAGTGAGCACATGGACCCTGTAGTAAGTTAAAAAAGGGAGAAGAAAGAGAAAGAAAGAAAGAAAGAAAGAAAGAAAGAAAGAAAGAAAGAAAGAAAGAAAGAAA